CTGGATAAAACATTGCAGCTTTATTTCTTAGTTAACATCTTAAAGACTTCTGGTTAAATGTTGTTTAAGATAAGCTTTTAGTTATCAGTCCACTGAGTGCCATAAACTGGGGATACAGCATATCTATAGCTGTGGATAGAGTTATATGTGTAATGTACCTAATGAAGCAGTGGTTAAAAGCAAGGAAGGTGTCTAAATGACCCCACTTCTACATATCCGTGCTACTAGAATTGGCTACAGTATATGTGTAACATACGTATATTACCAGGATGATTACTTTTTTGCAATATAGCAGATGTTAATATCAGGCTGGAAGTCTCGCTTTCAAGAATGATTTGAGATTATGATGGCTACCTTCTTCCAAGAACGAGAGAGGAGGTGAATTTTAAAATGTGGGGGCAGCAGGGAGCCACCAATGTAGCCTGTCACATTGTCCATTTCCAGCCCAATTTCCTATGCTGGTCTCACCTGAATTAGTCACCACACAACCCCAGGCACTGACAACCAGACTTACAGCTGCCTCTGGCAAGAAGGATCATGGGTACATTTTAAAACACAGCAGATAGTGCATACTAAAAGCCACACTGCTTGCCTGACTTGTAAGCTATTACTGCGGTTTTCACCATGGGAACCTCTTCGTCTGTCTTCTGTGAAGCAACACTCAGGCTGAGTGCACTCATTAGGAAATAAGTCTTACTGAACTCCATAAGACTTTTTCCCAAGTCAAAATGTTTATGATCATGCTGTATGGTCTCATTTAACTTTCAGAAAGTCAGCCTCTGCTCTTGTCAGTTACCCCCATGTCTAAAGAGGTAGAAATGTACTGAAAACCAGAATATTCTGCTCTTTCTGTGTAAGATCCATATATAGCAAGATACATGGATCTTCTGAGACAGAGGCATCCATTTTGGTTCTCACATTATGACTGTGTCATTAAAGAAACATCCTTAAGCTATTTCAAGTAGTGATTTCTAAGCATCACCTCATTTTTACTAGGATGTAGTATGATGGGATTCGTGATATTCATGCTTGTTTATGGCAGGCAAGCAGATTTTTTCTGAGTGTGTTAGTTCAACGCTGTGGACATAGCATTTAGTTCCCAGCCTTAGATCCATTCACAATCAACAGTGGAATCGCTGAGCCAGTATTATCAGTATTACTAGAAATATAATTGTGGTAGGAATACTAGGAAGTCACTGGAGATTTTGTTACAAAATTTATTAATCATATACTCCAAATCAAAATGTTTAGTAGTGCTTGAATTCGGAAAACAGCTAAATTCACAGATGATTATCTCAGTATCCAGTTTCCTGACCCAAATGTGGGTTATTCAGCAATTATTAGCTTTCCTTTGCCCTGTTTGCGATTTTCTATGAGACCCACTCAATGTTGGGCTAAATACAACAAGGCCTACTCTCCATGCTGTGTCCTGAAAATGCATTAGCATTGGGCACAGACTGCTTGAGCACTTAAAGTAAAGGCACTAATTCTTTGACATAAAAATTCTACTGCTGAGACAAAGCAGAAATTGAAGGGCAGAGAATAAATATCTACCTAGCAGTAATAACAGCTATTTGTTTGAGTCCATTTTATGGCACTGTAAATGTTTCCTGCAAAAGAGGAAAAACACAGTGTGCTTTTCTTGAGGGAAAGCACTTTAAAGTCAACAAATAAGATGCTAAGCTTTGGGAGGATTACCCGGAAATTTGGCAGACCACAATAAACATTGTTTGAGGCTGATGATAACAGAGGGCTTCCTTATTATTAAACACCATGACATGGTCTTTACAGCAGAGTCTAAAATAGTCCATAAAACACAAAACAAACAAACAAGAAAATCATTCATTTGTTTACAGAGTTCCTTTCAGGTCATAAGAGAGATTGGTGAGACGGTTAACATGAATGATTAGGTGAAGTGTTAATAACAGTTAGACCCAGAATCCATTAGAAATAATAGCAGGGCCTGGACTTAAAATCCTTGAGCTTTTCATACTTTTAAATCTTCTGAAGCCATGTACAAGAAGTTGCACCTATTTCCTTTGGATTAATCCATCTCAAAGAGCAAGTTTGTATCTAACACAGATTAGAACCTCCATCTATTAAAGATGCACTGGGTGGCAAGAAGATACCCTTCCATGCAATTAATCAGCTGACCATGTGATTAAAGGGGGTTATTAATCTACATTCTGTCTGCAATCCTACACACTTAGAAGGGAGTAAAGATTAGTGCTGTTGGTTATTTGACACTTTGCTCTGAATTTTGCTGCCTGTGATGGACTATAACACAGCTATGCTTGAAACAGTGCTCATTTATTTATTTAATATAATGAATGCTCAGATCAAAATGGGATGTCAAACTATGATTATATTCATAAGGTGTTCAGTGCATGGTCACAGGCGTTGGGTGTTTCATCCAGCTATTGCAAGTAAAGCTAAAGGGGCCTTGAAGCTAGTAAATCCTAATTTAGTTTAGCTATCCATCAGTCTTCTAACCTATAGGGCAGCAGTCCCCAAACATTTTGAGTCAATGGGAATATTTGCAATTTTGAAGGAGTGTTGCAGGTGTTCTCACAAATGGCTGCTGGGAGGGAGAGGGGCTTGCCCATTCCTAACATGGTGGGCATGGCCATTCACAGAACCCCTTTTTCCCCAAGAGGCAAACTGATGAGGCTAAAAGAAATTTGTTCAAGAACCTAAGTACAAGACAGAAGTGGAAGTCTGGACTAGAAAACACAAAGCTACCTCTTGGTGCTCAAGGACAGCACTTCACTTTCTAGCATGCCAGTTTAAAAATAACTAAAACAATGCATTAAGTAATAAAGTAGAAATCAGGAGAGAATGAGAGCCTGTGATGTCCACAGGTGCCACAGTGAAGAACTCCATTTTAGAGCATGTGGCAATGATCTCACCATAGCAAAACAGATCTACAACATTACTGTGACATTTCAAATGAGAAGAAAGGCACATTGAACCCAATGGTAAAATATGGCAGGGGGTGGGGGGATAGAATTCAAAGAGCTATGAAAACTAGTTCCACTTGCCCAGAAAGGTTTTGGTCGTGTTTATCTTGAACTGCAGCCTCCTCTGCCATGTGCCAAAGACGCTTCTTGTGATTTTCAGAAGGCATGGGGATTCTGCTGTTCAAGGAGTCCCTCCAAGTAAAGTGGACTTAAGACTCCAGCCTTCAAAATAGTTTCTTAAGGAAACAGCAGGTGATTCACTGGCCAGACACAAGCAGATATAGCCATAGCCATTGGAAATGGGAAGATAGAGGATAATGTGGTTTATGAAAGCATGTAACATTTGAATGTAATTAGGCTAGATTTTTTTAAAAATAGTTCTAGAGCCACTAAGCTGGTTCCTCAAATGATGGAATTAATCAGTGCATCTTTAATGGCAGTTGGTGATTTCCATCTTGCATTATTTATAAGACTGTTTAGATTTTTCAAAAAGCTTGATTTCCTTATGGCTTTATTCACATGATAATGTGCATGACACAAATGCGCTATGAAATACCTTAGTATTTAGGTGGTGGTGGTGGTGGTGGTGGTGATGATAGCTTTCTTTCTTTCTTTTTTCTCAAAAACATTTACATGTGTCCTGGTTTCTTATGTTTGATCATCTCTCCCTTGTTTAGATCCCTCTAGCTGAGATGGAGGCTCTGTCTCTGACGTCAGATATTCTCTCTGAAAATTCCTGGTCCTTAGCTCTGACGGATGACTCTTTTCCTGATGATAATAACACACTCTTACTTAATGCCCTGGAGAGCAATGTACATACACTGGTCACTGTATATTCCGATGTTTACAGGGTTCTAAATACTGTTTTCCAGTGGGTAAACAGCAATAACATTTGCATGAAAAAGCAACCATTCTAGCAACAACCTTTTATTTGGAAAAATAAACACCTTTAATACCATTCTCTTTGAGGTTACCCTCAGTATTTTTCCTGAGGTGATTTTTTCCCCCTATCCATTCCACATACTAATTACTATGAAAAGTTAATCAAGCAGCAGCAGAAGCAACACATTGTTTATGGACATGTGGAAAATGCCATGACATAAAGATCCCACTTTAGTTTTGGTTCAAAGGAATGGAACTTGCCTAAAAACAGATGGTTTGGCTGCAAATCCTAGTTACCATTTTTGAACTTGAATCTTTGACAATGCTGCTTGTGTTGAAGATATTCTTGTGAACATTTTGATTACACATTTTAGAATAAAGAATGGCTACTTTCTTTTCATTTGTGAAGTATGCAATCAGTATTTTGAGCCCTGCTTTAACCATCTCCTCCTGAAACATTAGACATTTATAGCTGATGTGTAGCGATGAAGTGCTTTATTTCTGCTGTACAACAGACATAACTTCTTTCCAACATTTAGTGGATTCATCCTTGTTTTCTCTTGTTCACATACCTACCTTTAGCTGTGTGTTGTGTTGATGAATTTTCTGCCATTCTAGTAGATTGCCATCATAGTTATTACTGATTTGGGACATAACTTCTTTAAACCGTGACAGTATTTCCCATCATGCTTCATGGCATCATATTCAAAACAAGACTCAGAATTCTACAGTGAATGTGTTTTGAATGGGCTATTTTCTTTCAAAATGAGATATTAAGTCATGAAGAGAGCATGTTGACCTCTGTCAGGAAACTTTCAAGTAGGTTTCTGAGGCTGGCAGAGTCTAAAGACTTAAAACTTTCTCCAAGTTATTGTCAGTCAGCTTATTATGTGAGAGGTTCAGGACTGATCATTTGACCAAAAGATACCTGCTCTTTTGCTTTCAAATACAGAAGAGTGTAAATAAATTTGAAAAACACAGTTCCTTGAATAAAAAGCATGCCTTGAATAGTTAACCATTTTCATAATAAAATAAACAAGTAAAATGACAGCCTCCAAGCTTAAACACCATAGTACAATTTGAAGCACCGATATTTGTTAACATTGACATCGAAGCACTATTTTTGGTGACATCATAAGGGAATTTTTCAGTGTACTGAGAGACTGATCAAAATATAAATTGTCTGTTTTGTTTCAGCATGTGTTTCAAATATACCACAGTTGGAAACTAAAATGGGTTAGGACACTGTAGGAAACTAGGCATGTGGCTGCGCGAACAGATTTTCACTTGAATTGTAGTAGCAAATATTGTGAGTGACTTGTGCAGTTCATATTGAATCCCATGCCTTGCCCTGATTCGTTTTCCACTACTAAAGCTGGTGCCTCATAGAGCAGGTACTAATTAAATGCACACTGGTGTCTTTCAGTACTTGGATCTAGAAATGTCCTTCTGCCTGAACACTCCCACTTGGAGAAAAAGACCCTCCCCCCCATATCTTCCTCTGTACCTGGCAGGCCCCAGACATAACCCAGGTGCTTTCCCAATCTGTTCTGGCAGCCTTCTACGCGCAGAAGGACGTTTCTGGACATAACCCTGTGAGTTGCTGCTTCAGCAATCATTTTTCAGTGCTCTTTATCCCAGCCATTAGTATGTCCCTAATCTCTACTCAAACACTTTGCTTTGCTATTTTATTCCCTGACCTTGCACAGCCCTACGTAAGTTCTGCCACAGTACCACAGAGACATCCAATAGGTCTCTGTCCTCTTACATTTTCATGTTTTTGGTACAACTCTGCACAGTTAGTGACTTACCTAAGAATGGCTAAATCTGAATCCAACCCAAAAATTTGTAAGAGGAGGAAGTGTGGGCCGTCCCGAGACTATATAGCAAGGGGATGGCATACAAAAACTTTAAATAAATAAATAAATAAATAAATAAATAAATAAATAAATAAGTGTGCATGTATAAGTAAACAAAGCACTGCATGCAGACAGAGAAATATTAAGAACTGTCAGAAGAGATGCTGGTGCAAACATATCCTATGGATGACAATGTAGGTCAATCTCATTTTGTCAAAAGAATTTCCCAGTTTCAAATACCTTTGTTAAAACTATCAGTGTGGGTTAGTTTCTGCAACAAAACAAGACATCATTGCACCAGAGAGAAAACTTTACTGAATCAAGTGTGCAATTCACTCAACTGGCTTCAATTGAATTAGGATATCATCTGTATCAAGATTCAGAAGAAAAACCTATCTGGAATAGAACTCATCTGAATTATTAGATACAGATAAATCTGATATCTAAACCATCTATTTAAAGAAGAATGAAATCCATTCCACATGGAAGGGAAGTAATATATGACTGGCTAAACATGCAGTACAACTATCTCTTCTTTTTTCTCTCTCTTTAAAAACAGATTCTGTTTAGTTTTATCATGTTCTACCATGCATGCTAATTATATTTTGTTTTACCATTAGAGAATTATATTAGAAAATCCATAGGAGATTTGTACAGTAATGCAAAAGATGTCTTGCTAGATAATTTTTTAAATACTATGAAGGCAGAATGGTGTTGAAGATTCCTTTCACTGAATAATATTGTCACAGTTCATTTTTACCAATTAGAACTTAATCTTTTATTTCAAAAACAAAAAGTATTTTCTTTGTTGTTGAAAATACATCATGAAAGTCCCTTTGTAATTCTGCTTTTCTTTGCAGACTTTTTTAGCCATACAAAGTCAATGAAGATCAGAATAGGATACCTCTTTCATAAAATGAATATACAGCCTCACTTGTTAAGGAAATTAACTAAGATTGTGTACATACCCCTGCAAAAGTCTGACTTGCTTTGGTTGGGGAGGGGGCTGTTCTTCCTCATTTTAAATGACCAAAGTTTTGCAAAGCATGCAACTGTTCCCAGGCCTTGAGGCATGATGCTTGTTCAATTAATCCTGAAATAGTCATGGTTTATCATTGGAGTGTTGTTTCTCTGTATATTTTGTTCATTTTAAATGTGGTTCATTCTGTGTTTGATTTATTAACAGTATATAATCTGGGCTGTTACTTCCTGGTCAACCCATCTGTGCAAATTTCATGTGATTTCAGTAGAATGTGCACATTGTAATGACATGCATGCTCACCGTGTGTGTATCCCATGTCCATTGCGGTGGTTGTCACTACCAGCTCCAGCGGGCCACATATTTTCCAGCTCTGTGATGGCCTCTCTTTCCTTCCTTTTCAGACCGATTTTCCCCCAAGGAATGACCCCCTGGCTCTGTCACCGAGCAAGGACCTGCTGAGCGTGAGGAAGCCCTCTGTAGGCCGCACCCATTCCTTGCCCAACGACAGCTACATGTTCCAGGCCCCGGGTACCAGCCCTTACGGAGATGCCTCTGGAGAAAAGGGCACGTCCTATCAAAAATCTCAGTCAGGTACCTTGGCCTCGGCTCTGGAGCTGCTGTGGGCAACTGCTTTGTGTTTACCTGTGTGGGAATTTCAGGCAGACATTACAGGATTTGCCACATTGTGAGGCATGTGGGCCTCTGACTGTGTGGCCAGATCTGCTCCTTGCGATGTGTCGCTGAGGGCTTAACAGGCCCGAATGGATTTGTGTGTTTATGATTTCAGGGAGCGGGTGATGTCAAGTGGACAAACACCAGGATAATGGTGCTGCATTTCTCTGCCTGCCACTTCTCTGTGACAAATCCCTTCGCCTGCTGCTTTCACCATGGAGTTCTCAATGCGCATTAGGCCCCAAAGACGTAGTACTTTAAATCTCTGTGTAGCAGCTGCTTTAAAATAAATGTGCTTTTACTCTATAGTTGGCACATGGGCTTGATCCAAATCTGGAACTTAGTTTGAGGGGGAGGAGAGAAGGATCCAAATCAGTGCTAGTCCACCTACCTAGAATAAAAATAAGGGGAGATCCTGGGTGCAGAGGTTGAACACTGTCTTAGGAAGAGAAAACAAGATTTGGAGCAGCAATGGGAAGAATGGTTTGGGAATGGTTTGGAGAAAGGGGGGAAAACCTACCCCCTTCTCTGCAGTGCTTTTCTGATCCAAATTGCCTCATCCTGGAGCAGCTTTTCCTAGGAATGGGTGGCAGTTATTCACACACATGTGATGTGTACTAAGGCCTCTGCTTATTTTCAAAGAATCTTGCATTTTTAGGAATTACAACTCAGGACCTTTTCATATGTTACAAAAGGGCAAAAATGGGCTTGCCATTTGAAAGTACATTCATTGTCGATGTGCAGCTAATCTCCATTTCCATTTGTTTTTTGCACTTTGAATTTTCAAGTGCACAATTAAATTAAATTAAATTAGATATACCTTTTTAAAAAACTGTATGTGAAAATTGACCCTTATTTATTCTCATTTCTTGCCATTCTTATTTATTCTGCCATGCCTTGTTCATCTGTACTGTACTGCCATTGCTGTTTGTACTGGTCCTGATGGCTGTAACATTTCAGTGGCTCTACACTGAAAGGTCTAATGTTGAATACAACCCTCCATCTATTCTCCCTTCCCTTGCTACATTCCTGCATGGCAGGATGAGCCATTGGGCTTTTGTCCAATCTAGCCAGGTTCTTCTTATGCTCTTGCTAATGGAACTTGGACTATGATCTTTATGCATTCTGTGAAGTAGGGGCTTTTATAGAAGTTGGAAGCAGTTCTCCTCATAGCACAAAACTGTATTCAATCTAGCAATAGCATCACAGCTACTAATGTCATCAGGCAAGTCCTAGGAGAGCACAATGGCTAGAGATGGTGGTAGCAATGGAGCAGGAGGGAAGGGAAGAGAATTGCATTTCACTGGGGATCCTGAGTTGCAATATCAGGCAAAAACTAGACCTTAGAAAATTGACCTATGATTAATGCAGGGATGCTCCCACCTCCCAAAACAGGATCCTCACATTCCATTCTCTCCTTCTTCCCAACTTTCATAGTGCCCTGAAAGCTGTGAATGTTGACATTACACAGTGAATACCAGCTAACAAAGTGAAATGGCAGGGAGGAGAGAAATTTGCATCATGGTAGTGACATTGCATCCCACAAAAGATGACAGAGAGAAGCCAGTGTGGTGTAGTGGTTAAGAGCATGGGACTGGGACTCAGGCGATCTGGATTCTAGTCCCCGCTTGGCCATGGAGCCAACTGGGTGACTTTGGGCCAATCAAAGACTCTCAGCCCAACCTACCTCACAGGGTTGTTGTGGGGATAAGATGGAGGAGGAGAATGATGTAAGCTGCCTTGAGCCCTTTGTAGGAAAAAGGCAGGATATACATCGGGGGGAAAAATTGATGCAAGCCTGGGACCTGTTTCCTGGGGCTGCATGATACTTACCATTATAATTGTTTCCAGCCTAAATGCAGGATTCCCCACAATGGAAGAAAGTGATCTTACTTCCAAAGAGTTGCAAGTGTGCTATCATCTCTCCTTACCTTTAATGAAATGTCATTTTATAGAAATTCCATTGAATATGGGGCTTATTTCTTGGTCTTTAGAAATTTTCTGTATACAAGTTTCTCACAGAAGACATCCTTCAGTTTTGAGAAAGAGTTTTTCCCCAAAGGCCATCTCCCAGATACAATCTCAAAGTTCAGAGTAAAACAAAATAATGAAGAGATAACTAAAAGGATATTGAAATGTGCATGGTAATGTGAACGCTTACACTTTAACCTCAGGAATAAAAAAGAGGACTATAATTATTTGGCAAAAGTAACTGAACTTTGGCACTTTGGCATAATATGAAAGAATTTAGGATCACATGTAGCCTCTGAGGTAAATTCTCACACAAGTTATAATTCAGCATGAGGACAGTGATGAGGTCAGCACTCATGAGGGACAAAGATGGATCTAGCAAGCTCATCCTCACTCTTTCATTAAAGACCGAACAAGAAGATGTGAATAAGGCCTAGCTTTTTGTGTAAATTAAATTTTGTGGTAGAGGAAGTAGATCTCTGAACCATGGAAGTTCCCACAAGTTTACCACCTAGGTGTGAACAACTGATCCACAAACAAAGGGGCTACAAAAAGAACCTGAGGTGCCTTGAATTTTTACCCATTGCAACAAGGATGGAGAACAACCACTGCTTTGCATGGCATCAGGTGGGAGACCCCTTGCTGGGAAGAGAGAGTTGCTTGGAGTAACTGTGCTCTTCCCTCTCCTTCCCCAGCCAGGAAAGGCATGGGAGGAACAAAACTGATTACACACTCGGATAGTCCCAAGAGGAACAAAACACACTCAGTTGGTTCCTCCATGGCTTCCCAAGTGTTAAATCCAGTTTTCCAAGGTGCCTAGTTTTTCTGAATTCCAGGTTAGAAATAATAATCAGTGCCTTTTGCTGCTGCTGCTGCTGCTTATATAGTGGCATGATTGCAAATGCTCATTTACAGTGCAAAATAAACAAGCAAGGTCTCTGTGCTGAATCTAAATTATGAGAGTGGAGGCAAATGAGAACAAAGGGAAACACAGGACTGACCAGGTATGAATCTGAGCACAGGTAGGCACATGCATTTAAGTATGCATTTAAGTAAATGCAAACAAAGAAGCTAAACCATCAGCTTCATGAATTAGATGGGTTTTGAGAATGCCATCACTAGTTTTTGTTTAATCTGAACTGAGAGCCAAGCCCAGTGGGCATATATGAACCAACTGTTTATTTTTCCAAGCAACACCTCTTGTGTACAAGATGGCATGCACAAACCTCCCAGTGAACCACTGGCAGTACTTCCAGAGAGGTTTTTTTATTGTGCCCTTCATACTGGCTCATTCAGAGAATTTTGCAGGGGATCTAGATGTCAGCCAAGTATGAGATGGATTGGCTCCATAAAGGAAGCCACAAGTTTACAAGAGCTGAGCAGGACAGTGAAGGACAGGGTATTTTGGAGATAATTCATTCATGGGGTTGCCAAGTCAGAGGTGACCTGACGGCGTGTAAGAACTCAGTATCATTTTCTACTCATAGCTCTTCCACCACTTCTGCCATCTTTATTTTTTTCACAAGGTGCACAGTGGGGACAGGGTTGTTTTTGCTTTTGCTTTTGTTTTTGTTTGAGATGTAGCACAAGGAGCCATCTATGCAGAAGCTCAATGAGAACACAAAATGGAAGTGTCATTTTGGGGTGGATCCATGAATTTGGATGACCCACCCCAAAATGGTGTTTCCATTTCACCATACAATTTGTGATATGGAAGAGTTAAGGTAGGGACAATAAGTTGCCACTTTGCACATATAACTGCTCTTCACTTTTGGGGCATTGTGCAGTTCTCTCTTGCTGCTTGCCTTGTTTTGACCCTAAGAAACCACTGCTTTCAAAACTGAGCAAAGTTGCTTCTGTGTATTGTACCCAATTCTTTAAAGTGCTGTGAAGTTTGCAAAGGCCATACATCACCAATAAGTAATAGGAGGAAAACAATATTTCAAGTTGGAAAAGAATGTGGTGTTGTCAGTAAACTTGGCCTTTGGTTGAACAATTCTGCATAAGAGAATTGATATTCTGGGAAATATTCCAGGACAAATGAATTTCTTTCAGTGGGAGATGGTCCCAATTAAATGAATTGCTAGTGTTTTTAAAAATAACATAAATACATTGGGCTTTGTCAGAAAAGGATTTACAGGTTTCAGGCTCATTAGATATATTATTATCCATGATCAAGGGGAAAGAATGTAGCTTGGAAAAATTAGGCATGGTATGCAGTACACAGATGCTGGCTGATCCAGAACTAATTTTGACCTATATGAAAGTAGCAGTAGGACACCAGTCCTTGCTATTGTTGTTTAGGACTGGAGCAAGATATCTGGGAATGGCCCTATATCTCCCCACACTCATTGAGGTGACAGGGAGCTTTTTATGTGCAACCTGAAGATCAGCAGGATCTGATACTGGTTACTTCTGTGCACTCACTATGCCTCAGGAAAGCTGGGAGCCAAGGAACTCCACTCTCCCAGGATTTTCCCAGGCACATGGAGCAGTATCCAGGGCCTATATACTGCTGCTGCTTTGGGAGCACAAACTGAATTTTCTCCTCTTCTGCAAGCTGAGGATGACTGTGCTGAGAGCTGCTGAAGGCCACAGCCAGTTCCTAGACTTCAAGACCTGGCATATCACTGTGTTAGTATCTGAGTCTGGAGGTCTCCAGTAAGCTCTGCTTAAATATCTGCCCAAAATGGATGTATGAATGGCTAACCCCTAAAATTCTCTGTTCAATTTCCCCCTATTGCGGTCTTGAGATACAGCTCTAGTCTCAAGCATTTAAATTATACAGTCATACATTTTATATTTATAAATGGATCCTGGAAATATACACTTACCAGTTTTCTCATTGTCATAATTTGTAAGAAGAAACAAGATCAGGTTTAAAGGGCAATTAAATTGCTGACTAAATAATAAATGTTATGGGGATAAATAAATGAATTATAGCTGCCTGTCAAAGACAAGATCCAGTGAGAGAGAGTTTGTAGTTGTGTGTTTTGTTGGCTCAGAATAGAATGCATTTCTGCCCACAAGGTGAGTGTCAAGTCGCAATATGCATCCCCCAAAGAGTTGCTCTGGAAAGTCCCTCAACGCCTGCTGAAATTATATGTGGGGAGACATAGAATGAGGCAGATTGAGGAGCTGATGACAACCCCCCCACACACACACACACACATACAGGTCTTCTGCACATGGATCCCAGCTTGAGTCTTAACCATGTAAGGCACAACAGCAGGGGTTGATACATGCAGATGAGGATGTTAAGTATTTAGAAGATTATTTCATTGGAAGCTTAATTAGGACATTAACAGTGTAATATTCAAACTCCTATCCTTCTCAGGCTCAACAACATCAGTGCAGTCTCAGCCTGCAAACATTGATGCTCTCCTACAAATTCCAAGAGATCTTTTCCACCACCTTAAGCCCCAATACAACCTTGACTGGGAAAGCAAATCTAAAGTCGCTCCACCTGTGCATTCTCCTTCAGCAGAACGGTTACTTCGTAGGCAGGTAAGCTGGACAATTGCTATTATTCAGTTTGGTTTTATGCCTTGCGACTTACACTGCTGGGCCTGGGAAATCCTTTGGAAAAGGAAAAGCTTGTGGGCAGGTACGTATTGACAGATCCTGCAAGCATATCAAGGCGGCTCCAGTTTAAAGGACCAGCTGGACTTGGGAGCACTTCTGATCTCCACTGTCCTTTATGGGCCAGGGCATTTCAGCTTGTGCTGAGTCTCTAGAAAATCCATGGATTGTTCAGTAAAGATGTTGGACTGGATCCACCTTTGTTGTTGTGCTCACAGAATGGATACTGCTGACAGAACTAGGTTTCCACATCCTCTCCTTTTCTCTGCAATCCCCTCACACCTTCCAAATCCCCAGTAGGTCCCCTTACCCACTGGAGCAGATTTGACAGGCACGTGAGGGGCTGCTAGGAGGAGGAAGGGACATGGATACTTCATTCCACCAGGGTTATCCATTCCTTGGGCACAACCATGAAACCAGACTTTTTTGTCCATAATTTTACCAGTTCAACCTTAAATGTAAAGTATGAAACACAAAGTGCAAAAGATCATTTTTCATTTTCCCAAAATAGCATATCATGCAAGTGATTACTTAATAACCCCGTTTATTCAGGCTATTACCTTCCTCTTCCACAATGACAAATAACACAGCTAATTTTTGGGCCCTTCCAAGTGAATATGAAGCTCTAAGGTGAGCATTTTACATTAATCTGCCGTATTAAACTGACAGGCTAAATTCTTAAAGCATATTAAGTCAATGCTGAGCTAGCCTGCCAAGCTGGTGTACACTAACAAGAAATCTAATTGATTTCATGGTTGCAGCCCATGAATATGCTCCTTGACATCAAAAGGAAAGCAGCCCAATCCCTTTCAATCAGTACTATAAAGATATGAGATCATGTTATCTGCCTTCTTTTCTTTCTTGACCATTAAAACTAGTTGCAGAGGAGTGGACATTTTTAAGCATCAGGCTGTGATTAGATCAAAGGATTTAGGTTAGCATTTTTGGGAGGCCTTTCTTGGCAGCACCTCAAATGCTGCAGGTGCAGCAGCTCTCATTTCGCTTTGGTGAACATCTGAATATACTTTCTTTTGGATCTTGGTCTGCACTTGAAAGCTAAATGCAGTTGATCATCCATGTAAAGTCCATTCTGATTCCCTCCTTGCACAGTTACAAGGTACATAAGGAAAATTCAGCATGTGCACAAGTACAACCATTCTCCCAGGGAAAGCTGCAAGTACTGGGGCAGAAACTTAGTCCCACACCATGCTTTCTTTTCCCCAGACTCTTGCCTTATCTAGGCTCCTCTGTGCTCTACGGAGATTGGGAGTCTGAGCAGCCTTCCAAGTGGAAATGGTCTAAACAGTTATTTATTCCAGAGTCCTCAAATGGAAGATTATTGTAAATGAGTTGGCATTCATTTTTGTGTTTTGAAAATGTGCCTTCGTACTCTTCTGGAAACGTTTGCCTTGTGGCAGCAACGTGCAACTTGTCCAATGTTAAGTACCTCCACTGGAAATGTTTAATGAGGCAGTCAGTATTCCAGGCTGAAGCAAGACTTGCAGAAGGGCTGGTTAAGCTGTTGGTTCCATCCCGTTTCGCCTAGGCCATAGTGCTTTTGAGGCACTGGCATGGCCTTAGTCCAGTAAATGAGTTCTTGCAGAGAGATACCCCATTTTGCAACAGTGAGTGGATACTCTTGAAACTGTGCAGGGAATGATGTGTGTAATAATATCCCGCTAATAAAAATGCATGCCGCTTGTCCCATATAGACCAGGAATGCTTCTTTCGCTGCTATCAGCCAGTTCTACTGACTTGACTTTGCAAATGGCATTCAGTGAGCATGTGTCCCAAAATGTTCTTAAAGCCTTCCTTCATGTGAAGTTTGAAACACTTCTGCCCCAAGCAATAGATTGGATGATCTATTCTGCTAGGATGCCCTTGTATTGGGTGATCTTTTAAAATGTTTACGCCCCTGGAAACTTTTTCCACATTTAGCATGTGAGTGACCCTGTGAGTTTCTTGTATCAATTGATTTAGTCTGTACGCAATTTCCAGCTCCTCACTTGCTAAATAAGAGAATGAGATTATGTCACTACAAGCCCACAGAAGAGGAGAAGGAAGGACCAGGTTTGAGCCTTCTGTTACTGATTGAAGAGTGCCATAGCACAGCTTGTAAGCAACACCATTTCTGACTAGTTCAAAAGAGGCTGTTGCTTGGATGCCTTTCTTGGTCTCCTTTCAGCAGTGGCAACTATTGCCAGTCAAGAAAGAATAAAAATAATAGGAACAATGAGGAGCTTGCCCATCATGATAAAGATCCCCTTTTCCCAAGGCTGTGCCATGTTGGTGGCTCTTTTCTATCACTTGTATCAACCTCATACAGCAACAGCAAAACACTGTTCAACTGCCCTTTTGGACCACACAGCTGCCTGCTGCATGGGATTATTCCTCTGGAGCATGTCTATTTCTGAATGTCTCACTACTTTTGTACACTATTAAAATAAATGGTTTAATGGCCTCTCTGCCAAATGTACTAACTCACAAATGCTCTTATGATTTGTACTCTGACTGTGAATATATCCAACCCTGGACCTTTATGACTGGTTGTGGCCCGTAAATGGCTCCCCAGGGCAAGGCTCCTGACCATTTAATAGCCATTGGTACTGTAATTTTCTGGTAATTTGGATAGTTATTTCTGAAATCTTTGAATATGCTTACTTTCCAGGCAGAATATCTGTGCATGCAACTGTGAATGTGCTTTACTGTTCCTTAGACTGTGTATCTTTTTATTTCATTGCTTTCTTTTCTTTTTTCCCTCTTCTCCTTCTTCACGTGTCTTCTCCTCATTGTGTGCAGATAAATCTTGTTCACCACATCCCTGGCCCACACACGTTCCTTAGTCACTGACACTCCTTTCCTTCAGCCTTCCTTTCTTTCCTCAGTGCTATAGAATGGCCCAAGAGTTCCCTGCTGTATGTAAAGCCTTAGACTGGAAGGCCCAGCAGCTAATGACTCATTTCCTGGTGAAGATTGGTCCACCGAATGCATTTAAGGAACAATAAAGCCCTTTTCTCTGGTGCGGAACATACTCCTTGCCAGTGCGTTGTCAGAGTGCTTTCTTCAAAAGAATACAATTTTGGTTCTTTGGTTCATGACTAAAAACAAAGGTGTAAAATACTTCATCCTACAGCTATTAAAATATTCAATAGGGATCAACACAACAAGTTAGATGTGAAGTCAGACTTCAAAAAAAAATCAGTTCAATCAGTTTTTAAAATTAAATTGATATCAGCAAGTACCAAAGATACCTTATGGTACAGCAAAGCATAAATAATTTGTGTAATATTATGCGTATTGAAATCCAGAACTCTACGTGTGATTGCTTGCCTCTCCAACTTCATCATCATCATCACAGATATTTTCTACATACAAACATCAAATCAGATTCTGTAATAATGTGATTTTCTTTCCCCAAATCTCTCAGGAACCTTGAAATTTATTTTTCTTTGACTTATTTATGCCAAGAGTGAGTAAGACATGGCCTTACTTCCCCTCCCATGCTACCATAGCTAGCAGCAATGGAAAAAAGGTGGGGTTAGTATTTTGTCTCACTAAACAAAGGTAGCTTGTTTGCAAACTAAATTTAACCTTTGTCATCTTTCCTGGGTGCTACAGAGTGGTTGGACTGCCACATTTCAATGGCAAACCATCATTTATGTTGGAGAGGGGTACCCCTAAATTAATACAGCATGTGAAGAGATAACTTTGTCTGTCTGTCTGTAAGAAAATATCTGGGCACCCATTAGAACAAAATTATAAGGTGAGACAAAACTGAGAACATCGAAACCAACCCAAAAAGAGAAAAAGAAGCAAAATCTCCAGATTTGTTTTTTGAGGAATTGTATTTTCATTTTTTTGCATTTGGTTTTTTTTTATTTTTTTATTTTTTTATTTTTTTGACCTCTTGACTGAATGAATTCAGATGAAATGGACAAGCCATGGTGGTTTCTTGAGTGTGATGGTCTCTTTTGTTAGCCAAACACTATTGCAGTATTTCAGTATGGTATGTTCAATTTTTAGAAACTGCTATAAGCACAGCTATCTGTTTTCTGGTCAGCCAAACAGCATCATGGTTTCCCATGGTCCTGGTATGCAGTAGCCATGAAGTCTCCTGGAAAGAGCGGCAGCTGCAGGAGCTGCTCCAGCCGTCTAGCATAGGATTGAATTTCAGGCATGGTGGCTGATGGGGGATGTGCCAACAGCAGGATGACCGAGCAAGGAGAGTGGAAACCACTTGATTGTCTATTGAGCACATCCAGGCCAAAAAAGTAGAAATTGCACAAGGTTGCTTATTGTAACGTATCTCTCTCTTTCTTTCACTGGAACACGTTAAAACAAAAGCCCAAGGAGTCTGTGGCTTGTTGAACTCCAATTTGCACTGGCTGATTTCTTGCAGGTGGAAATTTGAACTCCAATTTCCACATGCAAGAGCCCTAGTAGGGAATGATGGGAGCTGTATTCTAAGAAATCTGAAGGGCCACAGGTTCTCTGCCCCTTCATTAGAAGCTCAGTTACAAACCTGGCCGATGACTGATAAACCAATGCCACATGGGAGCTTCCCCAGCCCTGAAAGACCGCTCTGCATTTGCCATTCTTACCTACAGACAAATTGGTAATTTTAAATAATTGAGTTGGTTCTGGATACAGTTATACTTAGAACAGACCCATTGAAAGGAATGAACATTACGTTATTCTTTATTTATTTATTTATAACATTTTTATGCCGTCCCCATCGCAGAAAGCCTCGGGGTGGCTTACAAGGAAGATAAATAAACATAGACTAGGATAACTTTAAAAATTTGGAGTATCTCAGCCATAATTTAAAACCAATGAATAAAAACAGCAAATTAACAATTAAAATATCAGTCAAATAAAAAGGTCTTGGCCTGGCGCCGAAAAACAAATAACGACGGCGCCAGGTGGACCTCTCTGGGGAGCGCATTCCATAGGTTTAAGTCTCATTTTTTCAGCAGGTCTACTTTACCTTTGATAACATCTGGAACCAACTCAAACATTTGCTTCTATGCAATCCCTCTACATTTTTGTATCAAAGCGTGACTTCCATAAAGATATAATACATTAGAAAAACCCCCATAATGGCAGATCTGGTTGACATATAAAAGGGACATGGTGACAATCAAGCGTAGCTATGCAGCACACTTGATTTGTACCAATCTGTCTGAATGTCTGAGCACTGGCCTTTCTCTTTTTAGTCTATTATAAATTAAAACTTCTTTTTTAAAACTGTTTTGGGGGAGAGAAAACTCTCCTAATCTCACATGTCACAATATGAGCCTGGAGAGCAGCCTGCCATATAAGAGCGTTCTTAGAACTGATTTTGCAAATTGAAGAAGCAATAAGTATAGAACAGGAATAGATGTGGTACAGTAAGCAAGGCTTATGAAAGCAGAGTATAGCAAGCACTGGACTGCATGTTTTATTGAATGTCAAAGCTGCCTAAAACACTTCCAAGGGTAAAATTGGTACTCAGTTTCTCTCTGAAATCAATTGTCCTCATAATGCTTTCTCCAGGATAGGCATATTGGCTGCAATCCAAAGGGCCCCTGTAGATTACTCTGAAGTCAGTTCTAGCACAAACTGTAAGTCATGTGGGTGCAAGAGAACAGGGACAGGGCATTCACCTGAGCACGATTTCAGACCAGAAATAAGTTTACAAAATGCCCATTGTGTCAGTCCCTTATTTGACTGTTTATTTATTTAGGGTTAGGGTTAGGAACATTTATATGCCGCCTCATTCACAAAAAGCCTTGGGGCGGCTTCTAAAACAAATAAACAATCATACAATTACCTTAACAATCTGGAAACATCTCTGCACAGATATACAATCAATAAATACAATCAACAATTAAAATACAGTTTAAATAAAAAGGTCTTGGCCTGGCGCTGAAAAGCAAATAACGACGGCACCAGGCGGACCTCTCTGGGGAGCGCATTGCATAGGTGGGGCACCACCGCAGAGAAGGCCCTCCTCCGGGTACTCACCCTCCTAATATCTTTCACAGGGGGCTCCTGGAGAAGGGCCTCTGCTGCCGATCTCAAGGGTCGGGAGGGCATATATGGACGCAAGTGCTCCTTTAGATAACCAGACTAGTGCCTACCTTCTAGCTATTGAAAGCCATAGTTGTTCCACACATTCTAGCTCCCCCACATCTTCTTGCTTGTGAACAAAAGGACTGTAGTAGCACATAAGTGGAGAGGTAAAAGTATAGCCTGGACTTAGCACAGACAGTAGACCATGTGATATCAGTGATGTTGTGAGTGAAAGTGAGGAAGAACATCAAGAAGGAGCTTAGTTGACTCGTCACCATTTGTATCTCTGGTGTTTATATGACTGAGGTTCTGCAGCATTCAGAGCTAAAGTTTCATTATCACCTCCAGTGTGCCTCTTATTACTTGCACCTTTCCTGTACTAACCATGTTCCTATGTGTCTGTTGCCCTTTTCCCCTCCAATTCCTTGACGCATCCATACAGATGGCAATACGGAATGACTCCTCAGACACCCATAGCTCAGAAAGCAGAGAGAACATCCATGCTGAGGCGAGTGAACTCTCTGATCCAAATTTGTCAGCTCCATCTACTGAGGACCTGTCTATCACTTTGACGCCCTCAGAAACAAAAGAGTCAACCAGCTGGGGGCGATCGAGTGTTCATACTCAGCAGCATTCCCGCAATCAGTATAACATTTCCAAGCATGTTCCAGATCTGTGTGCCTGTACAGACTCCCTTCAAGAACTACCTGTAGACCCGATGGACCAAGAAGTATCAGAAATAAACAGCTCTTTTACTTCAGGGACTTGTTCAGCCATGAGTGCCTCCTCAGTGGTTCAGCCGGAGACCCCTAAGAGAAACATAGGCAACAGCGGCAACGTTACCTTGAAGGACCTGAAGAAATGCTACAGTGTAGATACACAGGGTCTTCTTAAAAAACCATCCTCCTGGTTAGATGACCAAAGGAGACATTCCATAGAAATTTGCTCCATAGAAAACAGTCCTCAGCACCATTCCACATCTAGTTCTTCTGGCTTCATAAGTCAGGTCTTCAGTGAAATGGAAGGCTTGCAAGGGACACGGCCGAAGAAAAAACTGAGCCCCCCGTGTATATCAATAGACCCACCTGACGAACAGAGATTGTTGCTGAGAAGATCGTGCACTGCATCACCTCGCAGGGCAGATGTCTGCTTGCGAAGACGTGCACCGTCTTGGGATTCCAAGGATTCGGTGGATGCAGGGGACTCGGCGCTGCCAGACAGTATGTCAGTCACTCCTACCCCAAAGAAAGACTTGTTAACACTCCCTAGTTTTTCTTTTGATCAAACAGAGGTGGACCCTTGAGTTTGTTTGTTTTCGTTGGTGGTGCCAAATGTTTCTTTTCTCCCTCATGTAACAAATGAAAACTCTCTATTCTAAAAAGGCACTGATTTTTAAAAAATCCAAAGAACGTTTAAAGAGCTAGCTGGTTTAAGAGTGGTTAAGCTATATCACGCTTACTTAAGCATAAGTTCTGCTTGGGTAAAAGCAATACATTGTTCAGAGTCTATATGTATATTCTATTTTATTAAATTAATTGAACCTAGTATTGCAGGATGTAGTACATTTTGTGGCTTAAAGACCTGGTCTATTTTCTTCTGTTTTATGTATCTCAGAATATTCCTGAGATTATGTTGGGGGTTTTTTAATCAACATTTTAACCTTTAAAATTACATATTTAATCCTCCCCTTTTCTTTCCTTTTCTCTCTTGTTCTCTTTTTTTGCAAAGCACAAGATGTAGCCATTAGTGCATTACTGAGAAAATGTGTCCCACAGTCAACCAGAAATGAGAATATTTGCAATTATAACATATTTCACTCACCCCATCAACTATTTTCTGTAGAAAATAGTCATTTGGATATTTTTTACAATTGTAATGGCATTTTAATAATAAAATAATGTCCAAAATGAATTTTATTATGATGTAGAGCAAAAGCAAATGCACAAACAAGAGAGCGTATGACATAAGGAGATAGACTTGCAAAGATCTCTCTCATATAGAGAATCCAGCTGCCTAGCAGTCTCTTGGCAATATACAAAACATGCCTTTGCATGAGGGCCATGCTGTTGCTTTCTGTAGCAATCCCTAAAAATCATGCTAAGAAGGAATGCCTTGGATGAGGGCCTCTATTCCCTTCCACTGCCCTTCCTCCCTGACCTGGGGGAGGACAAAAAGTTGGGACACTGCAAGTTCTCTTGCTATCTGGAACCCCAAAAGATCAAGCGTGTGTGCTTTGCTTACTCCCCTCGGCCTTCCTCTTCTAGTGGGAGGAGAACCCAGCAGTGGCAGCAACTGCTTGCAAAACCACTCTCTCTTTGCCTACCCCTCTCCCAAGTGTCGCAGGAGAGCGACGGCCTGCCAGTGCCATCAACTGCCATGGCCTAGCGGCAGCTTTTCACTGATTCCTGTAGAGCTAGACATTTTGCAAAATTATTTCAGCTGTGTTTATCGCAAACATGCACAGACAGCAAATGAAGGCCCTGCGTATTGTTTGCATTTGCCCTTGTTCCATACACTCGTGGCAGAGCAGAACATGGTCTGAAACCCTTTAACCTCCCTGAGAATCACTCATCTGGTGGTGGCCACTCACTAGTTAGGAACACGACCAAATTCCTGCACTCTCACACTGCCATCCTAAACACTTTTATTAAGAAGTGCGTCCCATTTAATCAGTGGAATGTACTTCCACGAAAGGGGCTGAGGATCACAGCTATCAATAGGAAATTACTGGTTCATGTGGCCTCAAATCAAGATTGCTAAAAATTTGGCTGTTGGCTCTTTTCCTGCCATTTTCCTGCCTACCATCGCTCAGCAATAGAGCACCTGCTTTGCAGGCAGAAGGTCCCAACTTTGACTTCTGGCATCTCCAGGCAGAGCTAGGAAAGAATCCTGCCTAAATCCATCACTGCTGCTGCTGGTCCATGTTGACACTGCTGGCCTAGGGGGACAAATAAGGCAGCTTCCTATTCCTGTCAGGTTGCTTGTGAAGGCACAAGAGCAGGACCAATGGCAGGATCTGTGCTACTAAGAATCATAAATGTCACTTGTTCCATTTCAAGTGCAGTGACTGAAAGCACCATCTCCCTGGACGATGGCCCATTTATGTTGTTCAGGAAGAAGCAACAGATCCCGAAATAATTAGAGCGGCCTTCCCCAACATGGGGGCCTTCAGAGGCATTTGGACTGCAGCTCCCAGAATTCCCATCCAGCAGGGCCATAGGGCCGTTGACTGAGAATTCTGGGTGCGGCAGTCCTAACATGTCTGGAAGGCCCAAGGTTGGGGAAGGCTGAATTAGAGGATTGGTTGGGGTGTCTTTAATTTAGATCAGTCCCTGAGTAGTTGAACAAAGGATCAGTCCTGGACTGTTTTCAAATAAAGTGCAGTGCATTCAGCAGAATGATCAAACGTCTGAAAGATACACGGGGCTAGTCTAGCTGCATCAAGTCATTCTCTTCATGCCTGAAGCCAAATCCTTTTTCAATGTCTAGGATATAACACCAGCGGAAACTGGGACTGGCATTGACTATGTTGGCAACAAGCGTCATTCTACTTCAGGTGCTGATTTGCAGAATCCCTTGCCATTCTTGCCTGCCTTAAGAGAGGGATGGTTTTTGTGTATGGTGTCCAAATTTACAATAGACTTAGTCTTTAAGGAAAAAACCACATATAGTCAACCATTCTAGAAATGAATATGTTCTTCCCAGTGAAGTGAAACATTTTATTTATCAAATTGCAGTCATGTGCACTGTAGAAAGCTTACGGCATTTATACATACTGAGATGGATTCCATTGCCATGTTCTCTTGTAAACTTGTATTTCCTGTGGTTGCCTTTGGTGGAAACAGCTTCCACCCAAGAGTACAAGCCACCAAGCCAAATTACTATTCTCTTTACATTTCAGTGACATGAACAGAGCTTAGGTTGTGCCAGAGTTAGCTCTGCCATCTGTTTTTAGTGCCAGGGCTTAGCCCTGAAATATGTGCAGAAAGGCCAGATTAAATGGCTCTCGGCACATTTTTTTTATTATGTTTTAACCATCAAGTAAGCAGACAAAATGCCACATCAGGGGAAGGACTTCCAGATCAACAAAAGTTGGTTTATCTAGATGGACCTGAGCCACAGCATCTCTTTTCCAGGAAAGTAAGCGCTGGAAGTCAACCTCTGGCCTGCACAGATGCTTCAGTGAAGCCCATGGAGTTTGCACAAGAAAGCCACCATGCTCTGTGGATTGTGCTTTGACAGCTTTAGCACCCCTGCTTATCCCCCATCCCAGTGCAGGAGATGGCACCATATGCTGAATCCTTACGTTTTGCATGTGCAACCTGCCCTTCCTTTGAGGAAGTCAGGCTGTCATTCTGTCCACGCAGCAAATGCAATTGTCTAAGGTCACCCAGGGAGCTTCCCAAGTGAACCCGAGCTTTGCATGGCCCCAGTCACTACACCACACTGGCTCACGTTCCAAACTGCTTTGCCTTTTTAAAACAGTGCCCGAAGTTTGAGAAATAGGGAAGACTCTCCTCCTACGGCTTAGGATTCTTCCAATAGCTTCCTACCACCAACAGCAGCAGCGCCTTCCTCTATGGAACTAGACCAAGTGCTAATGAGATGCAGCGTAGGGTTGGCACTTCGCTATTCATGTGGCACACCCCTCAAATCGCTTCCAGTAGTGAAGAGAGCACCACTTCCTGTAAAAGAAGGTGCCTGTGTCTCGTGCAGGCACAGATATAAATCCAAAGCCCCGTATAGACACGGTGAGTGGGAGCCCCATACTGGGTCTGGGTGTTTCACTTGTATTGCTCATTCCCTAAAGATTAGGTTGTTGCCCTCTAGAAAATTACTTCCTGCCCTAGCAGGCTGACCTAGAACACAGTCCAAATCTGTACAAGAATCATTCCATCAGTTTCAGCTTAACCCACATCTATGTAAATGTGTTTAGGACTGTAAGTGTGATTATCTGCTGTTAACCTAATTAAGGCTCCATGAAATTCTAGGTCATGTACTAATATAGTCCACACTGGAATGGAATTTAAAGACTGACTAGAGAAAAGCCCATTCATAGTTTGAAACTCAAAATTCTGAGATGCCAAGAATGCAGCCTTAAAGGTTTAGAATTGCCACCTACATGAAGACGATCAGTTTTAAAAGTTCATATTGGACCCTTTCCTAAAAACACATTCCATGTGGATCTTGCCAACAGGTGATTGTATAAATCACCGTGAGCTGGGGGAAGTGATTGTATAAATCTGAACACCTTGCCTCCTATGGCAACCTTCTGTGCCACGGGAATCTTACTACAGTGTCGTGCCTGCATGTGCAATATTCTGAATATCCTAATGCTTCTGTTATTCTACCCCTTTCACTTTGAGATGAACTATGAAATTTTTAATCCAGACAATTCATCAATGGGACATAATCACTTTTAGACCTACAAAGCATGTTACAAGAAATCCAGTTAGCAAAAGTCTTACCAACCGGGTTTTGTTGTAATTCTTTCTAGTTATATGTAAGGGGGGGCGGGGGGGGGGAGGAGAGAGATGCAGCACAGTAAGACTAATGTTCTTACTTTTGGTTGAAATGTTGCTTCTGGCTCTGAACTCCAAGTGGGTTTAGGTTCTCCCCTGCTCCCACTGCCCCAATACAGTAAAGCCGTCTGCAGCTACCCGAGACTCTGCATGGTGAAGATGTGGGGGTCGTGTTCCTCACTCTTGGTGACAGCACTTGGATCAGCCATGGGTGCATAGGGACCTACACAGTATGGAGTTTGGACTGAGCACTGCTGGGGAAACGCCTACAGAATGGAGTATCCCGGTCCCCCTTCCACCTGCAGCTCCCCATGTGACCCCCCAGTCTGTTCCACAAGGCTCCCAGCCCTCTGGAGCAGATTTGGGGGTACATGGAAAGCTAAAACCAGGCAGAAGAAGACTGACATTTTGTGTGTGAGCTTCACTGGAACGGCAGAAGCCCCTTAAAGGTTTAAGATGCAGCATACTAAGCAAGCCCATTCCTACCAGTGGTGTTCTTCCAAGATGCTGCACCCAACGCATAGATTGCAAGCTTTCAGTCTGTATTCCCAAAAAAGACAAAAAACTGTGTGCAGATTAATATTAAAAACGCTGGGCTTTATGTGCAAGGACCACAGTGTGATAGACCAATGTCCTGACCTCAGTTTCGAAGTGGGAAAGTGAGTGAAAGTTTGAACACCATGCATAGCCTCAAGCCTCTGCACAGGCCTTCTGCTAACCATGAGGTGAGACTAAACCATAGTATCCAAGTTCATTAAATTGTGCATTTTTGATCCAGCTGCATCAGAGCTACAAAATCTGCACAGAGTATAACTTTT